AGTCTTGCATGTCACATATTACAGACCACAATTCTGTGACCTTTTCCTTCCATTTTCACAGCAAGAGACCACGGCAGAGCCGTTCGCTTCGGAGTTCTGGATCTTAAAAATTCATAATGTAGAGAACACAAATGCAAGGCTTGCATGTGTGTGTTAAAATAGTAAATGGGTTAAAGTGGCACAGGCATACTTAGGACTGTGTTGGCATAGTTCTCCCTTCAGATGGTAGTTTGGAATGTGAAGCCTCTTCCTCTCTCTGCTGTAGCAGAGCTGAACTCTAATGTCACTTATAGGAGAAATTTAATACAAGCAGCTTGTGCAGAACTGACCTGCTGCCATGGCAGCGTGGAGTATATTTAGCATGCATGTGTCTGCTAACCACAAGTGAGTAAAACAGTGAAACTCTCCAAAGTTAACGTTTCTCTGAACGTTTTCAGAGTTCTGTTGGTCTAATCAAATGTTATCAAACTATTTGAAGAGACTCAGTTTGTAACTGAGATGTAACCGACTCAAAATTCAGAATGCTGCAGCACTGTCTCCACAGATCAGTGTAAGAGAGACACGATTCAAAAGGAATTGGATTTTTTAATCCACCATAATTTTTTTTTTTTTTTGGCTGTTCTGGTTCAGTTTTCTGCTGCCACAAGGACTAAAGATTAAAGTTTAAATGAAATCTGCAAATAGCCATCTGATGCTCAGGTACTTCATCTTTAAGAAAAACCACAAATGTGAGTTTTTGGCAGTGCTGTTATGTTGTCAGAATTTCTTGGTATCATCTGTGCTTAAAAGCTAAAGTGTCAGCTCCATGCCTTCTGCAGATTTAATGGGACACCATTTGGGAGCTGATAAGCAGGGAAAAGTGCCACACATAAGTCTTCTCCCAAGACAACATTAAAAAGTGGATAATCTCTTTAATGGAATATAATCTCGCTTATGCAAAATCTTAATAAAGTTTAATATTTTCTCCACAGAAAGTGTGATATTGGTTTACATTGTAAGGGGTTTTTTTTGATGTCTTGTGCAGAGCAGGAGTGGGATGACTTGCTCATCTCCTGTTAGTTGCAGGATCCCATTTTCCATGGTGGTTCTTGCACAGCCGTGGTTCCAGACGAGGAAAAATGTCCTGGGTTGGACCTGAGCACCAGATGCAGCTTTAATGCTGAATATGGTGCTTCTGACAGCCCAATGCTGGGGGATTTACTTAGACTAAGGCTGCATTCCATAAGCTTGAAGATTCCAGAGGGTTCTGGATGCTTTGGCAGTTCCCTTCTTTCCCAGGGGTGGTCACAGGTTGTTCCAGTGAGTCTTGGCTGAAAGAGAGGAACTGAGGGTTCCACCTTCCCCCAGCTGTCATGGGGACTTGTGCATCTTCCAGCTGGGAGCTTTTCCCACCTCTTCCTCTTGGGAAGTCTGTGTAGGCATTTCCTTCTGGAGAATGGGTTGTTGGATTTTGGGGTTTGATGGTATTTTTCTGGATGCACTGTCATGGACCACTGAGCTCCTTCAAACATGGAAGATACTTCCCATCAAGTTCTGTAGTTTTGGGAGATGCTGCACTTGCAGAAAAATTGCAGGACAGCCCAGTGAATTTTTTTTGAAGTACTTGAAGGACACACATAGTAAGGCAGTGTTAAAATAACATTAAACATAAGAGAAGTGAATTTTATTCCATAAGGCATGACAGTGTGGTGTACTCAGAGCTCTGTACCTCAGCACAGCTGCCTTGTCCTGGCCCTGCACAGGGCAGTTGTGTTGGGAGCTGTGGTTGGTCGTTTCGAGTGTTTCAAAATATCAATAATCCTCCTGCCCAAGCTCCTGAATTAGTAACACAGGAAAACAACAAGTTCCATTTAGAATTCCCATTTTGTTTTTCCATAGCAGGGCTGGATCTGAGACACTGCAGAACCACCAGTGGAAACTCAGAGCTCTAGGAAAAGCTGCAACCTGTTTGTAGTGGGTTTGTCAGTGCTATTGGCAACTATTTATTAATTCCAGCTTCAAGATTTACCTTTCTTTTCCTTATGACTCTTCTAAGGAAATTTTTGTTGCAAGAACCAAGTCTTGTGCTTAATTGATTTCCCTTTCAGAAGGCCAAAGAATCCCATGTGCATCCTTGAAAGACCTTCCCTTAAGGTGAAATCCTCAAAAGTGAATGAGAACCAGTTTCTTTTTAATGTCTGTTTTAATCTACTAAATTTAAAAAGCCAGGTCTGTGTCTTTGTTCTACACTGTGTGGCATCAAATCGGATAAAATGTCACAGATAAAACTCCCTACAGATAAACTCTTCCTGCTGCTGTCCTCTGTCACACTCTTTCCTCTGCTTTTGGGGACTTGCTCTTCCCTTTAATGCTCTTCTTCCAGCTGTGTGGGGTGGGCACTTCACTGAAGGAACTCGACTCCTTCAAAAAAGAACAGTGAGACTTGAGAGCATCACACCTCCATATGGGAAGATTTTAGGGAATATTGCCATCCTGCTCAGGAATATTTTGGCTTCAGTTCCACCTACTGAAAGAGTTAGGCAAGGGCACCCAGTTGACTGCAATGAGGTTTTGAATCAGGATTCACTGGATGGAGTAAATCTGCCTTTCCAGGGCCCGGCAGACGGACTGGCCTGGCAGCATTCGGGTGTGAGAGCAGAAATCTTGGTTTGCTGTGTTTAAACCAAACCTCGGTGATGCTTTAAATGTTGCTGTTCCTGTGCATAGACCCGGCTCATGCATCTCTGACTGAACTCTGCAGTTGTGGTGGCCCGAAAATTTTGTGTAGTGCTGTTTGTGATGCGGAATATTAAGGGGTTTGTGTTTGTTTAAGCAAGTGCTGCATTCAAAGGGGAGCGGCTGCCGCCCCTGAAGGATTCTGAGGTTGTCAATCAGATATTATCATCAGAATGAAGCCATTCAGTGGCAGACAAAGAGGAAGGAAATCCACCCGAAGCTCTAGGGAAGAATCCCCACAAGTGTGGGGTTGATGTAACATGCTCGAAGTACAGGGTGAGCTTGTTTTGATCCCGATCTTCCTTTGAAAGCAGGAGTGTTTACAGTGCGGAGCGTGTCCCCACCCCGCCCCCGGCGAGCTGAGTGCCCGAGAAAATGATGACACTGGATGTTGGGGAATTCTTACAAATCTAAACATAGCCCATAATCATAGGTGTGTCTGTGCCGGGTGAAAATGTGCGAGCTCCGGAGGAAACCATGAGCTGAAGTTTTGACAGCGAGGTCCAGCTCAGTGCTCAGTATTCCCGGTTACACCAAGAAGTCTTTGTTTCAAATCTTAGTTTAAAAATCTGTTGGCTTGGCAGCAGGATGGAGTCTGCTAAAAAATCAACTAGTTCAGCTGGATGCAGAGGGAATTTCTGGAAAGTTCCGTTTCTCCCAGTGGGAAGACAGAACTTTGTAGTCTTAATATTTTGTTTTCAGTTTTCCTTAAATACCTCTGAATGCATTTCCTTACAGCTCCTGGATCCTACCTCAGAGCAGAGGAGATTAGAACTGAGAGAAGTAGAATTCAAATCATCAGTCGAGTTTCTTAATTAAAATCCAGTTCACTAATTCTTGCTTCCATTTCTCCTGTGCTGCCAGGAGTATCTCATATTTTGGCATCCAGCTGTTGCAGTGTTTGCTCTGACTGCTTAGTTTTTATTAAGCAACGTGTGGCCTCATGTGCAAGACTTGCAGAGCATCCTGTAAGAGCCTGGCAGGATGGAACTGGATGCTGAAAGCCTCTTGCAGCGTGATTTGTGGAGCTGTGTTAATTTACACCTGTGTTGCAATGCGGTTTAATAGATAATTCAGATTTTCAGGGTGGTCTAGAAAAGCAGGAGTGTTCAAAGGTGTGTTTGAGGGGAAAACACACCTCCAGTGCAGGCAAAAGCAGCAATATCAGAGATGAACAGGCCTGGTTCTGCTGCCCCTTGCAGGCCGTGCCTGTGCTGATGAGGTGAAATCGGAGCTGGAGCTCAGGGATGTGCTGTTTGCCAGCTCCCTGTCAATATTTATTGCTTCAGCTGCTGCAGGGCCTCCAGTCAGCAGGGAAAGGCTTTCATGTCCTGAAGGCCCAGAGTGCCCAACAATGAAGGTTTCTAAGAGGAGTTAGGATTTCTTGCAGGTGCAGGAATGCTTCTCAGCAGGTTCCTGAGGGCTGTGTATGAACTGTGTGCCAGTTTGGTTCATGTAACCCCATATGATCATGTTCATAGGTTATTTACCTAGAATAAATAAAATGAGGTCATGTAAAATAGTTGTTAGCATCTGATTCTGGTGTGCAGAATCCACTTTCAGGAATGTATTTAATATCTAATGTATCAGTGGTGTTTTTCTTAGGGAAGTAAGTACATAGGGGTTTTTTTCAGGGAGACAGAATGCTTTATTTATTGCCATACCAGAAAGGAATGGGAAAGGTTGCAGATTCTTGCTCGTGTTCTCAAGTGATACTGTTAGATAAAGAAAATAATTGCTATGTCTAAATAAGTCTATCACTTCACATGAGGCAGTTTAACACTGGTTTTAACCACTCACCTCCAAGCTGAAAGGTCTGAACTTACACATTGCACACCTTCCTCTCCCTGGGTTAGGGGCAGTATCCAGGTTTTATGGAGGGATGCAACTGCTCTGTGCAAAATATACCTTCAAGGAGTCATTCACAGCTGACTGCCGTGTGTTTGCTTTGCTCAGATGTGGTTCCTGGGGCTCTCAGCTGGGTTTTTGTCAGAGATGAGGCAGATGACAGCATGGGTGGAAGGGATCCAGCAGTGTGTGCAAAATAGACACTGTTCTGTGTAATTTTCTGAGCAGGTTTCAATCACTGATGCAATAATTAAATGCTGAGATGTCCACTCTGACCATGGAACAGTGCAGGAGATCATGCAGCCTTCTCTTCTGAGGCAGTTTCAGGGCTGCTTCTTTGTATTTCTGGCAGTTTCTTTGATAGTGAGGATAATTATTTCTCCTTTCTTTTTCTTTTTTTTTTTCCCATTTTTAATGCATAATTGCAGGTCTGGATGGGCAGCTGTATTTGTAGTGTCTGATTCCTGATGGATCCTGGTTATTGTCAGGTCTAGGCAGTCGTGGCATCAGATAGTCCTTGGCTGACTCAGTAGAGAAGATGAAGATGTTCCCTTGCACTTTCAAACAGCTCCAGTTTGCATCTAATGTTTCATGTCAAAGGTAAACCAATATACTTGTTTAAATGTAAGAGATTTTCAGGAGGGGAAGTCTACAATGATCTGAGCCTGTCCGGGCTTCTGCTTCAGATTCTTGGCTACTTAATGCAATTGAAACTAGGCCAGCTGCCCTTCAAATACATTAAGATCCAACTTGTGCAATATCTTGCTTTTCTCAGTATTCCTTGCTCTGGTTGGGCAGCTCAGTGATGCAGTGCTTTATTTGTGCAGGAGTTTCCCAGAGGGGCTCTGTGTGTTTGTGTGTGGGTCACTGACTGGTTCTTGCCTGGGACCTTGGTTCAAGTTTCTCTGGGCCTTCACTGTAACTGCTCTCAGCTGCCTCTTCTCCCTCAGACCTTCTTGGTGTCTCTGCTCATGTAACCTGTTTGTCAGGGTTTGTTGACAGGAAGAGAAATTGAGATGTTTTTGAAGGTTTGAGGATTCCTGTTTGTCATACAATAATGGGAACAAATGGATGAGAATGCTCTCTTCTATTTATAGTCATGGAGTCTTTCACTCCAGAAGCTGTTAAATGAGATATTTTGATACATCTGGCTCTCCACCACTTGAATCACGTACTTTGCTGTGAAGCAGTGATGTTACTTAGGGTCAAACAACTTCATTTTCTATTTGCAGCAATCTGCAAGAAAGGTGAAACAATTAGCTCTTATCATTTGCTCTGTCTTGCAGGTATGGCAAGTAATAGAGTTACTGTAGCAGCCTGAATTTCCACTTACCAACTAAACCATGTTAACTGTGTCTGCTCTTTTCTTGCCATTGCTAAGGAAAAAATAGTTTCAAAAGTTAACTTTTAGAATTAGGTGTCTATTCAGATTCCAGTTCTTCCCTGAAGAAGTCAATGTGCTGTTGTCAGTGTAGTTTAGGTGACATTTTTGCAAGAGAATCCAAGTGGCTGGGTTAATGTTAATGACATGTGAATGCCCAGACTACCAGACATCACCTGCCAAAAAAGATGATTTATATGCAGAAGTAGAAAACATTCTGAATAATTTTCTCACTTCTTTTCTTAGTAAAAATTCAGTTTACCACACTAAGTTTAAGTGTTGGGGTATTTATATTAATGTACTAAACTTCTGGTGTTAATGACTTGCCCTGTACTCAGTTTGGACAGTCTTAGCTTGTGACTGATTTTAAGAGTATAGATATCCAAATGGAGGGCAGTAACAGTGTTGAGAGGAGGGTTATGAGGTACCTGGATCAATACAATGTTTTGGATCATAAGGAGTTCCCCCCCAGTTTGCTTTTAAAATTGGCAGCTGCCACTGGGGAGCTGGTGGGAGTCAGACACGAGCTCTGCTCAGCACCATCCTCCCCAGCCTGTTGGTGTTGCCTGAGCTCTGCCTGGGTAATACAGCCAGCTTTTCAATATATCACAGCTGAGATGTAGCTGAGTGGCTTAATCTCACTTGTACATCATTTTATTATTTGCTACTTTGTCTGCCTTGGGTTCTGAAACCTTTGGATTATTTAGAAACTCTCTCCATGGATGTCTGGAGAGGACCTGCCCTTGGCTCTGCTGTGGCTCCCCCACCAACAGTAATGGGGATTTATTTTACTTAAATATAATAGGATTATTTACTTCAAAGGATTCAGGGAAGGGAGTAACCCATTGAAATTTGGTTTTAATATCTTACAAATACAGTATAGTTTAAAAAAAAATTATTTAGAAGTTTGAACTGGTGGCGTATCTGAGTTTTAACAGCAGAGATTGAGCTCTGCACAAAGGCTGTGGCAGCCCCAGAGAGAGAAACTTGCCACTGATCTTGGTTAGAAACACGTGGGCGTCTTTCTGGTTTGCTGAGTGTCTTTGTGAGCCTTGCAGGCTGTTTGAAGCATTATGTTGTCGTGTCTGTCTGGTTTATAATTGTTGCACTTCAACAATATGACTGCGTGCTGTCATTTAATCAGACGTGGAATAAATTATCAAGAAAGCTTTCTGGATAATTGTTCAGTGATTTAAAGCTTCTTATAGATTCTTTGATGTGTGATATCTTTTTTGTTTTTCTCAATTTTCTTGTCCTGCTCCTTTTAAAAGGGGGGTGGTGGTGCCTGTATTCCGTGGAATCCTCTGGAATACTGCAAATGTGTGTTTGGTAAGGAGGAGAAATGGTGTGGAGAGAATCTGTCACAGCAGGTAAAGAAAACCCAAACAGAAAAACCACAAATGGGAGTTGGGCAAGAATGTTGGAGCCTGCGGGTTGTGCAGGGCAGGAGGAAAGCTGATGTGGAGGATCAGGAAGAAGCAGATAAGTGAGGGTGAGCAAACCCTTGGGAAGAGGTTTCCCAAGTGTGAACAGGAGCACACGATGCTCTGCGTCACAGAGCCACTGCTGAGGCCAAACTTGGAAGCCAAACCCCTTCATGTGAGGGCTCGACGTGCACGAGGAAGAATCTTGTTTATAATCCTTCAATTTTCCATTCTCTCATCTCCTCACACTTGTCCCCTGCTGAGAACTTCCCTAAAATCTGGCACTGTTGGGTTGGAAGCCTGACTCGAGGACACTCTGTAGGACGAGGTCTAAGCCCAGAAAGCTGTGGCTGCCTCTGGTCCCATCCCGTTCCTGAGCTCAGCTGGAAGTGTTTGCTCAGGAACATGTGCTGAGGTTGCTGTCCTGCATTACCTCAGCAGTTTGTACTTTGGAGGCAGTGGACTCTTTGTAAAAAAGTAAGGAATAATTTCTATAAGTGTAGTCACTATAAGTGTTCAGAACTTCATGGAATTGTGGAACTCCTGCTCCACATCAGAAAAATCAGTTTGCTGAAGTACCAAGCTTTCTACATTAGGTGAACTCTGTGTTAAATAAGATTCCCTCATAATTTATATTCTGTGGGGTTTTTTTCCCATTAGGAGAAACTGAAAAACAGAGGCTAAAAAAAAAAATGCCTTTTCTATACATCTTTCCTATGGAGATATCTGCTCGAGTTTCTACTCTGGCCTTGGGAAACTCTGCTAGTCCCACACCAGTCAGTTCTGATACCCTGAGAACAGACACTGTTTTACCAGACTGGAGAGTTGCTTGGTTGGCTTTTGCTACAAGGAAACTGAAGTGCAGCCTGCAAAATTTGAATGCAATTTTAAAGAGAGTATTTGAAGGATAAGGGTAATAAATCTCCTAACGTTGCCCCGCAGCATGTGCTGTGGTCTGAATATTTTTTTCTGCTTGTCTTGATTTTTGTAAACCTAAGTCTTATGTCAGGATGGTGTTTGATTTATCTCCGTTGGCACCTCGTTTAATTTTGGACCATGTGTAAAAGTTGTACACTGTATTTGTGTTTTCCTGATGTTGCTTTCAGGTTTTTGGGTTTTTTTGCAAGATAATGTGGCTGTGATATGGGGTTATGGCAAATCAGAGCTGATATAGAAAGGGATATTTTTGTCTAGTTTTGGTTTATGAATGTTCAGTTCTTTGTATTTAGGTTATTTGTTGAAGTTCTAAATTATTGTAAAATAAGTACCTGCCCAGAAAAGCACACAGGAAAAACTTTAGGACTCCTCTGAAAAGATAATCTACTGAAATCATGTTCTCAGAGACAAAAAGGACAGTGCTCTTTATGGATGAGGATGTCCATGTAGAAATGGAATCTGGATTAAGGTCTGGATCCTGAATTCAGGAATCTGGATTAAGTTTGCTTTGACATTTTGCTGCTGATGTTTAAAGTGCTACTGCCACTGTATTAAAAAAAAAAATCAGAGCAAAACTTTAAATTGAATTATCTATAAAATGATGAAAACGGTGAGTCACCACACATACAAAAAGCCCCCACGTGAAGCAGCTTGTCTCGAATTTCAGAGCGATCTGAGCAGATGAAGTCAGGACTTGGGAGCTGAGCTGTGGAAACGTGTCCTGTCCCTGCAGAGCGAGCAGGGCCGGGGACAGCGAGTGCTCCGGGAGCTCTGCCGATCCCCCGCGAGATAAAGGCGATGTGGGACAGGGGTTGGGGGATTGCGAGAACCCGGAGATAACGAGCTGCGCCCCTGCCAAACGCTGTTGCTATGCAAAATACGATTATCTGTGTTCTCTGATCTGGTGATAGACTCACGTGGAGGTGGGAGAAGTCCCGAGCCCAGGCAGCTGTAATTAAAGCTGCAGTGTCACTGTGGCAGCTGATGAAATAGGAAGACTTGGGGAAGTAGATTTCCCAATGATAGTTTTCCTTAAAGCCGTGACTTAACGGGTATGAAACACGTTTTAGGTGTTATCTGCAGATGCATCAGTGAGCCTGAAGATTAATGAAGTGTTAAGATGTTGCAAAACCAGAAGAAAGTTCCATTCTGGTTGGTAAACACACAAATAGGAAACTGCACAGTCCTACACAGTAAATGCGTTTTATTTATTCTCTTACTGTAAGATGAAGAAAAACATGAAGATGAGCCTTTGAATTGATGACACTGTGAGGTGCTTGTTGTTGAGTTCATCACCAGAGCATGTGAAGGTGCCTGTTCTCACTCTTGGAGTGGCTTTAAAGAAAGAAAATTAATTTCCCTGCTGAGAAGAGCAGCGAGGTTTTGGTGATCCCCAGCCCAGGATTAACAGAAGAAATGAATTTGGCAGGGTTTTGTCTCCCGTGACAAAGGAGAGCTCTCCTGTGGCAGCTCGTTGTTGTGGGTGAAATGATGGATGATTTAAAGCCATCTCCGGTGGACATGTTCTTATCAGCGTTTTGGGAGGCACAGCTGGGGACTCGTTTGTTTGGGCAGAAAGGAGCTGGGACAACACAAGTGGCTCTGTGCCATTTTTTTGGCCACCTTGGAGCCGAGTTCCTCTGCCATTACAGGTTCCTGATAACGTCCAGGCAAATGCTTTGTGATCTCAAAAATACATTTAATGTATTTGATGTGTGCATTTTGCTTCAGGAAAGAACCCTTCCTTCTGCGGCTGGTGCTGCCCAGATGGCTCCGGGTTTAAAACCCGGGTTTTAATTCCTTCAGTGGCACTTTGAGCTCCTCGTGGTGAAAGTTCTGAAACACCTAATGAGTTCTAA